TTCATCTACTGAAAGGCATCTAGGTTGGTTCCACAGTTTAGCTATTGTGAATTGTGCTGCTATAAACATTGATGTGGCTGTGTCCCTGTAATATTCTGTTTTTAAGTTCTTTGGATATAGACCGGGAGGGGGACAGCTGGGTCAAATGGTGGTTCCAATCCCAATTTTCCAAGGAATCTCCATACTGCTTTCCATATTGGCTGCACCAATTTGCAGTCCTACCAGCAGTGTATGAATGTACCTTCAACACGTATTGTTGTTTGTCTTAATAAATAGCTACCATTCTGACTGGAGTAAGATGAAATCTTACAGTGGTTTTGATTTGCGTTTCTCTCATTGCTAATGATGATGAACATTTTTTCATGTATTTGTTGATTGATTGTACATCATCTTCTGAGAAATGTCTCTTCAGGTCCTTGGCCCAATTATTGATTGTGATGAAATGTTTTACCTATTGTAACCATGAACGAGAAGATGGAAAAGGTCATATACATTATGTAATATATTTATGGAGGAAGGGACGGAGAGAGAAAGAGGGAGGGGAAGGGAGAGATTGTGAGAAGGAAGGAGGGAGAGTGAGAGAATTTGAATATTCGTGCAAATTCCCTGTCAAAATTTTTCAAGAGAACAAATTGTACAAGAATACCATGCAATTCTCAAATGAACAAACAAAAAATGCCAAGATTCTTGTGTAGCTGTCTCTTTGAAAATAATTAGTTACATATGTGCTGTGGGAAGAGAACAATATCACCTTAATTTTTCTCTGCTGGATTCTCTGCTTAAATCACTTTATTTTGAAATCCTGCTCACTTTATCTTCATGAACTATTTGCATTAAAAGATTATGGAAAAACAAATAAGCTTGTGTCCTCAATAAGACTAAAACACATTGTGTAAGTGCCACCACAGGTTCATACATACCTCTTTATTCTACCACTTGATAACTGAGTTAATAAAAGCAGCTTGTAGGCTGAAAGCCATTGAGCAGAACCAAAGATTTTTCCCTATGGAAGAGGGCTAGAAATGTGGATCATATGTCCATATTGTTTGATATTATGTTTGGTAGGGGAAAGCAGACACATAAATCTCTTTAACTCTTCTTTCTCTTTGTTTTTATAATTTATATCTTGTGCCAGTCAAAAGAACCAAATCATCCTTAAGTCAAAAAATAGAGGCAAGGCTAAGATGATATAGCTTCAAACAATGTGTTCTTATTTACTTTTTAAATCACTGATCATTTTGTTTTGTAGTAAGATTACAGTGACTTGCTTTTATTTTCTGATTTAAAATATTTTTCTCATATGTAAAAAATTCTTTGTATATATATTTTAATGTTGGGATTTTATGAAGTGTGACTCCTAAGATAATGTCACTAACTGAGAATTATATAAAAAGTAAAGTGAAACAAAATAAACATAATACTGTAATTCTTTATTATATAATAGATTCTCTCACAATAATGTTAAAATCATATAACTGCATAAGTATTTTATTTAGGTTTATAAGTATATAGATTCTAATTCTAACATACATAATTTCTTATTAAAAGGATATTAAGAAAATAAGAGCATTTATAAAAGGTTCTCAAAAAGGAATATCATCAAGATTTAAGAAAAATTAATTATTTAATATAGTTTTGGGAAAATAATGCATTAAAAGCTAGAAGTCATCTACAAATATAAAATATTAGTATTGGGCTGGGGATGTGGCTCAAGCAGTAGCACTCTCACTTGGTATGTGTACAGCGCTGGGTTCAATCCTCAGCACCACGTACTAATAAAGATGTTGTGTCCGCCAAAAACTAAAAAATAAATATATATAAAAAATATTGGTATTGGTTCTATCATCTCTGAAAAAAGGAAACTTCCTTTTTATTTCTAGACTTATTAGTAGCATTGAAACAGAAAGAAAGGTGAAAGCTAATGAATTGTGAGAACAATGACTCATGGAAAGTTTAAAAGTTCTTTCTGCACAATAAAACATAATATGTTCTTGAGTATTGTTTCCTCTTCTTAAAGTCTCTTAGATATTAAATTTCCTTCAACTGTGAAAGGTGCTAGATTATGTAATTTTCTTCATCATCTATTTTCCTCTCTTTTATGTTATCCTATACTCATTATAACTATTTAGTTTAGAGAAACTCCCCCCAAATAATAATCATATACTAGGTTAAAGGTAAAATTTCGAGTGACCTAGCAGTCATCATCTGTCTTTATGAGGTAATTAAAGTATTATAACCCATCTTAAAGTTTTGTAACCCATATAAAGAGTTGTCTTTCAAGACTGGGGTTTTTGGATGTTTTTCACCTGGATTAATTGTGTTTAATGCTCAATGTAAATGAATTGAAATGTTTTGAATTATTATTATAATATCATAAAATGATAGTCATGAAATGAATCTGACATAATTTTCCTATGTACATATATGAAAACATCACAGTGATGTACATCCAGAAGAATAGGGTGCTAACTAGAATAAGATACATTCCATGCTCATATAATTATATCAAAATATATTCTACTGTCATGTACAACTAAAAATAACCAATAAATAAAAAATAAACAAATAATTTCAACAGGATAGAAGTAGGCATCTGATTTCTAAATGTTAACAAAAGCAACCTATTATTTTCCAATATTTTACAGAAAATGAGAGCTTTTTAAATGTTATGCATTGTTATATTTAATAAATATCCATATACTGAGGCCATAAGCAACTTAGCAAGACTCTATCTCAAAATAAAATATAAAAAGGGCTGGGGAGGTAGCTCACTGATTAAAGCACCTGTGGGTTAAATCTCTAGTACAAAAAAGTCATCCTTTCAGTCTTCTAAAATACAAGGCATGGAGGAACAAGTTAAATGACACTATGTAACTAACAAATTCAGGATATAGGATATCCCAAAAGAAAAATTAGTCTGGACACTTCAAAAAATTTAGTATCACAGAGGTGGGAGAATATCCTATAGTAAATAGACCTAACACCTAATAAAATTATACAATTTGGTTTAAAGAGTTTCTGAGACATTCTTTACAACAAGTGACTAAGAAAATAGTGCATTTGTAAAAGGAACTCAACAATGAATGTGATTCTTATCAAAGTTAAAGAAAACTGGAAGAGGATAATGGAAGGATATTTAGTGAGATTTAATAGGGTCTGGACTTAAAATCATGTAGAATTGTTATTAATTTTCTTAGGTATGTTAGTAGCATTGTGATTTTGTGGGTGTCTTTATACCTAGAAAATACTTGCTGAATATTTAGAAGAATCATAATATCTACAAGTAACTTTCAAATTAATCATCAAAAAGTTGCATGTAGAAAAAAAGGAAGAACAGCAAATATGTCAAAATATAAATAATTATTTTGTTTGTATGGAGGGTAGAGTTGTGTTTATTGTTTATATTTTAAATTTTTCTTGGTAAAGAATTTAAATTATTATAAAAACTATTTTAGAGCAATTTTAGGTTTTACAGATAATTGAGCAGATAGTATTACATTCCTATTTACCTTATCTTTCCCACTTAGTTTTTCCTATCATAACTAATCTTGCCTTAGTATTACATATTTATTTTAAGTATGAACAAATGTTGATGCCTTATAAACTAATATTAGGGTTGATTTTTTGATGATGTACTATTCTGTGAGTTTTTACAAATATGTAATATCTTGTATTTACCATTACAGCATAATAAAGTTTCATTGCCCTAAAAATCACTTGTATTTTATCTCTTTATTCCTCCAACCCTCTGCCCCTGGCAACCACAGATCTTTCTAATTCTCTATATTTTCGTTTTTACTAGAAACTCATGTAGTTGGAATAATTCAGTACACAGTCTTTTCAGATTGGTGAACTTTATATTTTGTGCAGTGCTGGGGATTGAACTCAGGTCCTCACCAAAGTGCTCTACCACTCAGACACATCCACAAGACCCTCAGATTGGCTTCCTTAAGCAGTATGCATTTAGTTTCCTTCATGTCTCTCTGTGGTTATCAAGTCTGAGGTCTGGCTTGATAACTCATTCTTTTTACCATATATTATTTTAAAACACATCAAGATGGTAACTTTAAAAACCTAAGAAATGTACCTTGTTTGGAACATTTCTTTAAAGACATTTTGTATGTGTGTGTGCTAGAGATTGAACACAGTGATTCAATCACTGAGCCACATCCATAGCCTTTTAAAAATATTGTATTGAGATATGGAGTCTCACTGAGTTTTTTAAGGCCTCACTGCTGAGGCTGGCTTTGAACTTGCCATTCTCCTGCCTCATTCTCTCAAGTCACTTGAGATTACAGGTGTACACCACTGCACATAGCTTTGCTGGGTTTTTGATATGGAATTATTAATTTTGCTAGATTCAATACTGAATCAAAGTTATAAAGTGCTCTTAATCTATTAGAAATAAAAATTAAAATGTTATCATATTCACAAGAAAAATTGACTACATGAGATTTTCATGTAGCTCACTCATATCAAACTTCAGGGAAATGAGAATTGGGAGCTATTCAAGAAATATAATAAAGAATATTTCATTGTACACCAGAACATTCTCATTGAATTCTGTGCTTTTCTTGAATCTTGATATTTTTCATTTGGATTTGAGTGTGAGGATGGTAACCTAATCATCATACAGATGTGTGGATACACAAATTCTTATAAAAACTGGGAACTTTCTAATCAAAGTCTTCTTTCTACTGCATCCTAGGACTGAGGTCACTCAGTTTCTAAAGTTGATCTTTTTTCCATAGCCACATGGATCTGCAAGGAAACTAAAGTAATATGTCAATGCTTTCCACGTAATTTTAGATGCAATGAAAGCCTTTCAAAATGTGAATAAGACTTTGGTAAATTGGAAGACACTAATCAAAAATACTCAATTTTAGTCATCAATCTGGATGAAAGAATTTTGATTTTCTTAGTTTTGGAGAAAATGCTTGGAAAGAACGCGGGGTGGCGCTGTAGCCTTAGAAGTAGAAGGAACAAAAGCCAACCGATGACGGCGGGTTTAGCCAGATATTCAGATAAAGAAGCAAGCAGGAGGAGGAGGCTTTCTAAGGCGGTGGTTCCGGGAAATCGAGGCCCTAGGATTGTTCACTTATCTCAATATTAACAAGATATTTGTGAGAGAAGAGTCAGCGACTACGGGTTTGCTGAGAGACCAGAAAGCAATGGAAACCAGAGAGAGAAAGGAACTCCTTCTGGAACAAAGGCAAGTCCTGATATTCTTTGTCTTGCTGGGCATGACTCTGGCTGGTTCTGAGAGTAGGCGCTATTCGGTGGCTGAGGAAATGGAGAGTGGCTTTTTTGTGGCCAATTTATTAAAAGACTTGGGGCTGGAAGTAGATGAACTGATTGTGCGGGGTCCCCGGATTGTATCCAAAGGGAAAAAACTGAGTTTACAGTTTGATAGGCAGACAGGGGATTTATTTTTAAATGAGAAGCTGGACCGAGAGGAGTTATGTGGTTCTACAGAGCCCTGTGTATTACCTTTCCAGGTGTTATTGGAAAATCCCTTGCAGTTTTTTCAGGCTGAGCTACAGATTAGGGACATAAATGATCATTTTCCAGTCTTCCTAGACAAAGAAATATTTTTGAAAATTTCAGAAAGTACCACACCCGGAACCACTTTCCTAATAGAACGTGCCCAGGACTTAGATGTAGGAAGCAATAGTCTCCAAAATTACACAATCAGCCCCAATTTCTACTTTCATCTTACAATACAAGACAGTACTGATGGCATATTACCACAACTGGTGTTGGATAAAGCACTGGATCGAGAGGAACAGCCTGAACTCACGTTAACTCTTACAGCGCTGGATGGCGGTACTCCACCAAGGTCTGGTACTGCCCTGGTCCTCATTGAAATCTTGGACATCAATGACAATGCCCCTGAGTTTACAAAAGTACTCTATGAGGTGCGGGTTCCAGAAAACAGCCCCATTGGATCCCACGTTGCTACTGTCTCTGCCAGGGATTTAGATATTGGAGTTTACGGACAAATATCTTATGCATTTTTCCAAGCCTCTGAAGATATTCGCAAAACCTTTCAAATAAATGCAAAATCGGGAGAACTCCTTTTAACACAAAAGCTGGATTTTGAATCAGTTCAGATTTACACTATAAATATTCAGGCAACAGATGGTGGGGGCCTTTCTGCAAGTTCTGTGGTTCTTATCCAAGTGATAGACTTGAATGACAACTCTCCAGAACTGACCATGTCCACACTTATCAATCAAATACCAGAAAACTTGCAGGAAACCATAATTGCCATATTCAGTGTTTCAGATTCTGACTCTGGAGACAACGGAAGAATAGTGTGCTCTATCCCAGATGATCTTCCTTTCTTCCTGAAACCGTCTGTAGAGAACTTTTACACTCTGGTGACAAACACAGCCCTGGACAGGGAGACCAGGTCTGAGTATAATGTCACCATCACTGTTAGTGACATGGGGACACCCAGACTGAAAACTGAGCACAGCATAATAATCCTCGTTTCTGACGTCAATGACAATGCCCCTGCTTTCTCCCAAAAGTCATACACGCTGTTGGTGCACGAGAACAACCAGCCCGCTCTGCACATAGGCAGTGTCAACGCCACAGACAGAGACTCAGGCACCAACGCCCAGATCACCTACTCCCTGCTTCCAACCCAGGACCTGCACCTGCCCCTCGCCTCGCTGGTCTCTATCAACGCAGACAATGGGCAGCTGTTCGCGCTGAGGGCGCTGGACTTCGAGGCCCTGCAGGCATTCGAGTTCCGCGTGGGCGCCACAGACCAAGGCTCTCCCGCGCTCAGCAGCCAGGCGCTGGTGCGAGTGGTGGTGCTGGACGACAATGACAACTCGCCCTTCGTGCTGTACCCAATGCAGAACGCCTCTGCGCCCTGCACCGAGCTGGTACCCAGGGCGGCAGAGCAGGGCTACCTGGTCACCAAGGTGGTGGCAGTGGATGGAGACTCGGGCCAGAACGCCTGGCTGTCATACCAGCTGCTCAAGGCCACGGAGCCAGGGCTGTTTGGCGTGTGGGCGCACAATGGCGAGGTGCGCACCTCCAGGCTGCTGAGTGAGCGCGACGCGGCCAGGCACAGGCTGGTGGTGCTGGTCAAGGACAATGGCGAGCCTCCGCTGTCTGCCAGCGTCACGCTGCACGTGCTGCTGGTGGATGGCTTCTCCCAGCCCTACCTGCCGCTCCCTGAAGTGGCGCCCGAGCGTGCGCAGGGGGACTCGCTCACTGTCTACTTGGTCATCGCCTTGGCTTCGGTGTCATCTCTCTTCCTCTTCTCTGTGCTGGTGTTCGTGATTGTGAGGCTGTGCAGGAGGCGCAGGGCGGTGCCGCTGAGTGTCTGTTCTATGCCCGAGGGCCACTTTCCGGGTCACCTGGTGGATGTTAGTGGCAGGGGTACCCTGTCTCAGAGCTACCAATATGAAGTGTGTTTGATGGGCGGCTCTGGCACCAGCGAGTTCAAAGTTCCTAAGCCCATTATCCCCAATTTCCTTGCGCGAGGTGTGGAGACAGGAAGTGACGAAAATCCCAGTTTCAGGAATAATTTTGAATTCAGTTAAATATCAAGAAGGATCCACTGAGTCTGGTCTCAATTTGTACAAAGTTCTGTTTTTATTGCTTTGCCCATTTATGCATCTCCTCTCTTCTGCTCTCCTATCTTCCCATCCCCTCCCCTCCCCAATCCTCCCTCTCCTCTTTTCTTCTTTCCTTCCTCCTCCTCCTCCTCTTCTCTCAAGTATCTATTCCAATGCTGTGCACATTACTGATATTTCTAAATATATGGTCTTGTGGTATGATTAATGTAAATTTTCTTTGTATTCCTTTTTAAAAATTAGTCTAACAACTTAGATTTAAAGTGTGAAATAAATTTTGTATTTTTAGAAATCCTTAATTTTTAAGTTAAAGCACCTTACCCCAAACTCACATCCCCAGAAAACTCATATGCTCCTAATTTTGAAGTCCTATATTTAAAATATTTGCTATCATTACACAGGATAAAATTTTCCCATCTGGAATATTTTGGGGTTTTATATCCTCTTCCCCCAATGTAACTTTTATTTTGTGAACTTACAGTGGCTAAACCATTAATATGGGTTTATTCATAAATAAATTGCACCCTCCATGAATTTATCTAAATATGTACTTCTTTAAAATATTGACATGTAAAAAATATTATTCTTTAGCGAGAAGCCTAACTGTTGGATTCTACAAAATATTCACATTACAAATTATAAATTTTTGTCAAAAATCACTCAGCTGGGCAGTAACCTATTGCCAGAAAATTGTAAGCTTAATGCCAGCCTTGGTCACTTAGACCCTGCCTCAAAATAATACAAACAATGGAGATGTAGCTAAGTGCTATAACATTGTGGGCTCAATCACCAGTAGGAAAATCACTCATATTCTAAAATAATTTAAAATTTAAGTTCTACTATTTAACTAATAGTATCTATCCAGTGATTTTCAAAGACATGCCAATTTTTCATGTTTTCTATTTAAAATAGTCTTTAAAATTCTCTGCTTATTCTAATCCCCCCTTTTAAAAACCTGTTTTAATTATTTAAAACCCTCTAACTGAGCCCTTCATCAAAATCTAAAACTATACCAGAGAATATATATTTGACCTTTATCAACTTTTAGAAAATTCACATGTAATTGGGATTTGCATTTTTCAGATTTTTTTGGAGTATTTATGAAAAACCTATATTAATGATTTAGCCACTGTAAGTTCACAAAATAAAAGCTATACCGGGGGAAGAGGATATAAAATCCCAAAATATTCCAAATGGGAAAGTTTTATCCTGTGTAATGATGGCAAATATTTTAAATGTAGGACTTCAAAATTAGTTAATTAGAAAAAACCTGATGGAGGACAAAAATGTATGCAGTACCACTCAGTCTATTTTTTGTGCTGCCTTCTTCTATTTGGTCCCTTTAGTTCCCTAAGATTTTCAATTTTTTAAAAGTTGCTTAAATCATATTTGTCAATAGCTCCCCATTATGGCATGATGAACACAGTCATTAGACCATTTTAATTTCTTAATAAAAATTTTGAATGATTGGAAAAGTCTTTATTTCACCTGTGATGTATTGATATTTAAATACACTAAAATACTTTAATGGACAAAAGTTCTTCTGTAATTGAATACTTTCTGATGTACAATGAATTATGTAATTTTGTATAATTGAACTTTCACTATTATTCAAACCATCTGGTTATCAGTCTTTAGTGTCCCTTTACTTCAACATATCTTTCCCTTTTTTCCTCACTGGTTAATTTGAGTCTCCTCTCCTGTTGACTGGATTAGTTAGGGAATAAATAGGGAAACTGTGTTATTCAATTTTATAATTCATATATACTATAATTCCTAAGGATTCATCCAATTTTCTTCATTTCTCGCAGTTTAATTTCTGATCTATATGTTAAAATTAATTTAAATCAATGTTATTCAGTCTATCTTTCCATTTATATATGATTTTATGCATATTTAAATATGATTAAAATTACAATATGAATTTTGAAAGTCTCATTTTGAGATTATTGGTGACAAATAGCACTATCTTGGTTATCTGAGGAGAAGGATCACAGATTCACAGCCAACCTGAACAACTTAGTGAGATCCTGTCATAAAATAAAGTAACCAAAAAAATGTTGCTGGGGATGCAGCTCAGTGGTAGTCTACCCCTGAAGTCAATCCTCAGTACCACCGCCCAAAAAAAAAAAAATCCTTCTCACTTGTAGGACCTTGAGTAAGTTATCATTTCCAACCCCCAAATGATAACTGCTGTTTCAATAGCTTGCAATTATGATAAAGTAAATAGTATAAATGTTAAAGCCATAATTGCTGTTATTTTAAATGCCACCAAGAATAGAGTCAAAAGATGTGCCAGCATATGTATCCCTGATAACTGTCAAAATACAAAAGAAGCTAGATTGAACACATGATATTTGCAATTTTTCATATATTGTCCTACAATGATTTTTGTTATTAGAATAAAATCTAAGCACACATTATTTGGCCTGCATTTACCTCCCTAGCCTCCTCTTCTCACCTACTCTTGAAAGTTCTAAGTTCTGTGTACACTATTCTTCTTTACTAGATTAGTCATGCTTTTCTAGCTCAGGAATTTCACATATTATACATTCAACCTCTGACACACCTTTTCATCCATGTTCCAAATTAAATGGTACATCTTAAGGAACATTTTATTAACTTCTCCCCATTAAGTTAGGTCTCTTTATTGTATGTTTTCAATGCCCTGAGTACATTTTCTATGCAACACTTCTTAGGCTGAACACCTGTAAAAGAAGGATAGAGCACGTTTCAATGTTTATCGAAAGTGAAAATATAGAAGTAATTAGGCATTTGTGGTCCTCTGATCTACCCCCTGACATGACCTAATATAATTTTTTACCACTTTGTCATTTGATAGTATTTTTCCAACTAGAAATGCAAATCTCACATTTTTATAAAAATTGGAAAATAAAATAGGATTTCTAATCATGTTCTCATTTAGAAAAAATTTTAAATTTGCATGTAATGATTACAGAACATGTTCACTGCTACAAAATAATGTAATTGAGGATTCTACAAGGAACAATCACTTCTTTAAGAGCTCATTTTACTTCTCTAGGTTATGTTTACTTAACTTACATGACACAAGAAACTCTTCCAGTAACCTCTACTGAGTTTGATAAGGGCAATAAGCAATATAACAAAAAATCAAAAACAAAACCTACCTTTTGCAAGAGTTTAAACTGTGAGCGAACGCATGGTGGCGCTGCTGACTAAAAAGGTGAATTAAATCACAAGCACATAGGACTCCCAGAGCACAGCTCCGGTGCGGTAAACTAGGGTTTGTGAAATGGTGACGATTTTTTAAGCAAGCCTCGTGAAAGGATTATTTACCAGGTTGGAATTTCCAGGACTTTGCATTCCCACAGCCTTCTGAAGCTCGGCTTGGCTACATTCCTTGGAAGAATATAGCAAGAAGTGCAATGGAGGCCAGAGGGGAGAGCTTTCTTAGACAAAGGCAAGTCCTGCTTTTCTTTGTTTTTGTGTGTGGGTTTCTGGCTGGGTTCGAGTCAAGACGCTATTCAGTGGCTGAGGAAAAAGAGAGGGGCTTTTTAATAGCCAATCTAGCAAAGGATCTAGGGCTGACTGTTGAGGAACTGGTGGCAAGGGGGGCCCAAATTGTATCGAAAGGAAACAAACAGCATTTTCAGCTCAGTCATCACACCGGTGATTTGCTTCTGAAGGAAAAAATGGACAGGGAGGAGCTATGCGGCCCTACAGAGTCATGTATACTGCATTTTCAGGTATTACTACAAAACCCTTTCCAGTTAATTACACAGGAGATTCAGATCATAGATGTAAATGACCATGCTCCAGTATTCTTTGAAAATGAAATGGAGCTGAAAATCCCAGAAAACTCTCCACCAGGAACAGTGATTCCTTTGGAATATGCTGAGGATTTGGATGTGGGAAAAAACAGTCTCCAAAACTACACAATTGTTCCCAATTCCCATTTTCACGTTCTCATGTGCAGTCGGAAGGATGGAAGGAAGTACCCAGAACTAGTACTGGACAGAGCGCTGGATCGAGAGGAGCTGCCTGAGTTCAGTTTAACACTCATAGCGCTGGATGGCGGGTCGCCACCAAGGTCTGGGACAGCCCAGATCCACATTCTGGTCTTAGACATAAATGACAATGCCCCAGAATTTGCACAGTCCCTCTATGAAGTTCAAATTCTAGAGAACATCCCTATTAACTCTGTCATTGTCACTGTTTCAGCTTCTGATTTAGATACAGGAAGTTTTGGGGCAATATCATATTCATTTTTTCATGCTTCAGAAGAAATTCTCAAAACTTTTCGACTAAATCCAATTACTGGTGATATGCAATTAGTTAAATATTTGAATTTTGAAGCAATAAATAATTATGAAGTCGACATAGAGGCCAAGGATGGTGGAGGTCTTTCAGGAAAATCTACAGTTATAATTCAGGTGGTTGATGTGAATGACAACCCACCAGAACTGACTTTGTCATCAGTTAACAGTGCTATTCCTGAGAATTCGGTAGAGACTGTGGTAGCGATTTTCAGTGTTTCTGATCTAGACTCTGGAGACAATGGAAGAGTGATGTGTTCCATCCAGAACAATCTCCCCTTCGTCCTGAAACCATCCTTAGAGAATTTTTACACCCTAGAGTCTGAAGGAACGTTGGACAGAGAAAGCAGAGCCGAATATAACATCACCATCACAGTCACCGACATGGGGACACCCAGACTGAAAACTGAGCAGAGCATAATAATCCTTATCTCTGACGTCAATGACAACGCCCCTGCCTTCTCCCAAACGTCATACACGCTGTTGGTGCACGAGAACAACCAACCCGCTCTGCACATAGGTAGTGTCAGCGCCACAGACAGAGACTCAGGCACCAATGCCCAGATCACCTACTCGCTGCTGCCAGCCCAGGACCTACACCTGCCCCTCGCCTCGCTGGTCTCCATCAACGCAGACAATGGGCAGCTGTTTGCGCTAAGGGCACTGGACTTCGAGGCCCTGCAGGCTTTCGAGTTCCGCGTGGGCGCCACAGACCAAGGCTCGCCCGCGCTCAGCAGCCAGGCGCTGGTGCGAGTGGTGGTGCTGGACGACAATGACAACTCGCCCTTCGTGCTGTACCCAATGCAGAACGCCTCTGCGCCCTGCACTGAGCTGGTGCCCAGGGCGGCAGAGCAGGGCTACCTGGTCACCAAGGTGGTGGCAGTGGATGGAGACTCGGGCCAGAACGCCTGGCTGTCATACCAGCTGCTCAAGGCTACTGAGCCCGGGCTGTTTGGCGTGTGGGCGCACAATGGCGAGGTGCGCACCGCCAGGCTGCTGAGTGAGCGCGACGCGGCCAGGCACAGGCTGGTGGTGCTGGTCAAGGACAATGGCGAGCCTCCGCTGTCTGCCAGCGTCACGCTGCACGTGCTGCTGGTGGATGGCTTCTCCCAGCCCTACCTGCCGCTCCCGGAAGTGGCACCCGAGCGCGCGCAAGGGGACTCGCTCACTGTCTACTTGGTCATCGCCTTGGCCTCTGTGTCATCGCTCTTCCTCTTCTCTGTGCTGGTGTTTGTGGCGGTGAGGCTGTGCAGGAGGCGCAGGGCGGCGCCGCTGGGTGTCTGTTCTATGCCTGAGGGTCATTTTCCTGGACACCTGGTGGATGTCAGTGGCAGGGGTACCCTGTCTCAGAGCTACCAATATGAAGTGTGTCTGATGGGAGGCTCAGGGACTAGTGACTTCCTGAGTCCAATTATCCCCACTAGTGTGATTCAAGACCCTTAGCAGCTCTGTTTTAAATTTGCAATTGAAGGAATGGTTTAGATTTCATTAACAGAATAATCAAAAAGTAGTTGTGTGGCTATGCATGTTTCATTTTAAAATCAAGAAAGTTTAGTTGATACAACATTTTGTTTATAGATTTTACTTTCTATGTAAGCATATGTTAATCCATTCATATTTTTCTTTTTTTCATCTGCTTTATGTCTTATCAATGCAGTCTTAATGCTTGTTTTTCTTTTTCTAATAGTGGAGAAAAAATAAATTCATTGTCTTTTAATGGTAATTTCAAATAGGTTTACTTAATAACATTTCAAATTATATATTTCTAAGCAGTGTGGACAGTTTCAAATCACAAATTCAGTAATTTTTCCTGTTGAATATTCATTCATAATGTTGTTTTTTATGTTCTGAAAGCTGTTTGGTCCATGGCTAATGAAGCTTGAGGGTTAATAAAACAAAAGATATAGTAATGTACCATCTTTTTAGAGGTATAATAGTCAAATGAAAGTAATACATTTGTTTTCTATATTGACACTTTCAGTCAATATTTCAATATTGTATACATTGTTATCATCCAAGTGGACAAACCTTATAGACAAATGCAGCAAAGTACTCTTAGGTAGGTACTTTTTAGGGTTTCTTAAAGTGTAATCATTATGACCCAGGGAAAAATTAAACATAAGCCATTTTAAACAACTGATTGCTCTTTCATTTTTAATGAAATTTTATTTAGGAAGGCATCTGGTGGGATGGCAGTTTGGTTTATAAATTCTGGTATCTAAGCCTAAACACCTGAGGGCCTTTTTTTTCGAAGAACTTACACAGATATATGATCTTTAAATGTTTTACAGTAAAGGCACTGTCCCATCAAATTGTACTTTTTATTACCTACTTACCATATATCTAGTAATTTATTTTATTTTTTTAATATTTATTTTTTAGCTCTCGGCAGACACAACATCTTTGTTGGTATGTGGTGCTGAGGATCGAACCCAGATCGCATGCATGCCAGGCAAGCAGGCTACCACTTGAGCCACATCCCCAGCCCAGATTTTTTTTTTTTGGTGGTGCTGGGGATTGAACCCAGGACCTTGTGCATGCAAGGCAAGCACTCTATCAACTGAGCCATATCTCCAAACCCTATCTAGTAATTTAGAAGGGAAATATTTTGCTTCCTGCTTTGATTCCCTTCTTTAGATTGAAATCTGACATGATTTAGCATTATTTATGGTCTTCCTAGGATAAATATCTGCCATCCACATCAGTATTCCACCTCCTATATTGTAATTAAAAGATCACAATAGGAAATTCTCAAGAGAATAGAGTTCTCTTTTTCTCATTGTAAAAGTCTAAATTGGCTAAAACTAAGAATAAAATCTGGAAGCAGCCAAAATATCAAATTGTATGGCTATTTTTCAGGAAAAATTACATTTTCTTTTCAGATATTTCCTGACTCAGAGAGAGAACTTTCTGGCAGCTGAATATTCATGAGTATAAGAAACAGAACTTAAGTTCCAAAGATTTTGAAAACTTCCCTTAAAAAGAGTTTAAGATTGACATAACTCCAATCACATATCAAATGTAGTAATAATCACATTTAAATTGTGTTGAGCTGGAGATATAACTTAGTGGTAGAGCATGTTCTTAGTACTTGCAGGAGGCTTTGGGTTCAATCCCCAGAACCAAAAATAAAGGAAACAAAAAGTATAAAAGAAAAACAAGGTGAAGGTGTCATTTTATGTAATAGCATCAAATGCACGAATAACCTTAATAATCAGAGAAAATAGTGTTTCTTTCATTCTAAGTTTCTTATAGAGATCTTTCAATCTGGATCTTTTGATCAGATTTCTTTTCTTCTTTTCATGCTTAGGTGAAATTTTATGACGATAAGGGAAAAGATATATTTACACAACATGTATCTATATTTGGCATCCTGAGTCTTTAATAGTATCAGAGCTGTGGGAGTATTTAATAGTAGCAGTTATAGTTCTTTTGGGAGGCCAATATGGTATATGAGCTGAGAATAAATTTGGAAGGACCATATGTGCTGAGAAGCTACTTAAACATTGAAGACAGTAGAACAAATACTACCAGTGACTTAACACATAGATGGACTGATCTACACACTGTTGATAAAGTGAACAAAATTTAACACATAATCTGGACTAAAATTGAATATCAGAAGCAATAACATCTTTCTTTTGGTTTAAAATGCTTTTTTGTTTGTTGGTAGTCAGGGACCATTTATTCTTTTATTTGAAGAATTTCCAAAATTTTCTTTATCTGGGTATTTATTAAATTCAGGGCAGAGAGGGGCTACCACATGCATATTACTGTTTTTGGAATTACACTTTTTGGAATTTCACAAACTGAAAATCTGTTCCAAGGGAAAAGGGATGACTTAGTGTATCAATAATTTTATAGGAATTTTCTTCTGAAAATGTTGATAAATCCATTACTGCCAATTAATTACCAATTGATACTTCAATTTTCCAAAGAGAAATTAAATAAAAATTTGAGTCCTCTTACTTCAGAATTCACTAAATGAACTTAGTAGACTCTTAATTCAAAAATAATCTTTCTTTTTTCATTCATAGTTGAATGTATAGCTCATAGCACAATGCCTCATACATAGTAGATGCTCAATTTATTTAATAAATAAATATTTCAAAACATTTTGGAAATCATGTAATATCATAAGTACTTAAGGACTTAGTTATTTGAAACTTATCTACACATTGGATTTTGAAAGAAATATCTGTATTCAGAAAGGAATGCATAATTCCCTTAAATATTATGAGAATGATTACATTAAAAAGTCAATTTATTATTTAGTGCTCTCTCCTTGCTTATTGAGGCTTCCAAAAACCCAGGGAACTATAAATAATGTGTTAATCTTAAATTTGGTTCAAATTTGACTTGTCCATATCTCTGATTTTAGGGACAAAGAAGAAAATAAAAGAGCTTTCTGTTTCTCAGATTAACTTTCTGAAATCTGTATTTCCTGGTTTCTACTGAACTTTGGTTAGTCTTTATTGTGTTAAAATTAAATGAAATTTTCAAGATACCAAAGGCTCAAAAGGCTTTCAAAGTAGCCATTCATTCATTTGTGAAATATAATTCTAGATAGTATACATTCGCCATCTTGTTTCTCTGCAAACATGTCAATTCAGAAATAATTTCATTATATCCTTGATAGTCATCATCTAATTTTTAATGTTGAAAAGCAAAGGGATGAAATTAATTTTATGTGGGGTGTCATAAGACTAAGCTATGCTCAAATATCATTTACATATCAATAAATACCAATTAGTCTAGTGAAGTAACTCACATAAATCTTTATTTATCCTTAAATGGTATTTCCTTGCATATGAAAGCTTTTTAAAAAACATGACAGTTTTCCTGTACATCCCACTACTTGATTCTGGTAGTATCTTTGCTTCTTGAAGTGGATTGTTAGATTTTTTTTTATGCCACAAATCTACTAGCCAAAATTTGTAATTATTTTATGTCAAATGCATATATGCTTAACCACTATTTTGGTCCATTATAAACTTTAAAACTTTCCATTCTTTTAGTATTCAACACTGTTGATGAAAATTTTAATGTCAGGCTACTTCTCAGTATCTTTTATCTTTTACCTCTTTTTCTCTTTTCAATTTTTTCTTTAATTTTAATGTTCTGATATTTGCTAATTCCAAAACTAAGATTCATTTAATATACTGAAGTTTTTGTTTATATAATAATGTTTTCCTTTTCAGAATTTCTGTTTGACAGATTTTCATAACATCTTGTGCTTATTTTCCAATTGCTATTTTATTCTTTTTGGAATAAATATCTTTTATGTTCTTTCCATGTTGTTCTGAATCTCTATTTTTAATGGTGGAGAAACAGCTCCTATTTGTTGCGTCTGTTTTAATATTGCTATTCTACCCAACATGCTTGCTGATGTTTTGTTAGGAACTTATTGTCTATTGGAGGTTTCCTTCACACTAATACTGTTTTTCACATAGAGAGAAAAGAGAATAGGGATTTTAAGGCGGCATCTGCTCTGGCTTCTGCAAATCCAAGTCCTAATAAAGAAGCTTGGTTCAACTTTGCCACACAGTGATAGAAGTTCTGCACCCAGCCCTAAGGATGTGTTTGAGCTGGCCCAAGTTTCCTTGGGGTGTGTCATTTTGTATTTGCTGTATGAGGCAAAATATCAGGGAACATCACCTTCTGCATTTTGGTTGTTCTGGTATCTTTTAATGTGGTAGACATGATAGCTAATGGAAAAAATTTAACTTCAGTCTTTAGCATAAACAACTTGATTTTAAAGAAAATTGGATTATAACTAAAGTAATCAATGCATGAAGAGTACATGGAAAAACCATGGGTTTTGATTCAGGTAACAAGTATGCATGATAATGCTCAGAAAAAAACAATCCAGGATTCATCTTCTGAAATGTTGCTTATTAATTTTAGAAACAGCATGGGGCTCTGGTGATTGAACAAAATTGACTTGTTTCTTCCAAAACAATTTCCTCCCAGTGAAATCACCTGTCAAAAATGACTATTCTGATAATCACTATCAGAACTGAATACCATTTCTGTCACTAGGATAGAACCCTATGTCAGAAATACAGCACCAAACCACTAGACTGTTCCCTGAAATTATCAACAATTCCCTTACCAAAATCTCATGTATCTTTTTAAAAAATAAATTATAGGAATGCATTATTACTACACAGTAGAAGCATTTCTACCTTGCACTTTGATAGTGCCAAAAAGAAAGATTACCTAGAGACTAACATCTAAGTCTTTCCCCCACTGCTGCCACAGGACATATACCTCAACGCCCATACACCAGTATGGGCCATGGAACTTTTATGCTTTAATATCCCTGGTTTTTGAGACTCTTGAGGAGTTTGAGTTCTAAAAGTTTGGGGATCCTTTGTGGTAACCCTTAAGATACAAAAAGTAGCTAGATGATAACAAAGTCACTGCAAAGTAATGACTGTAGTATTTCCTGAGCTGGCCAGGTAGAACAAGGTGGTGACCCAAATACCTAATACTCATGAGTATTTTATCTGTGATTTCTGACCTCAGAGCCCAGGATGTTTAGCATGTGGGTCTACAGCCTGGAAGTATGGAACATGTAAAGCATAGCTAGACCCCTAAGTGATAGCACAGCCAAACAGCTAGTTCTGTCTTTAGGATAACTGGAAATCATCTATTTGCCATGGTCATCCTACTCTTAATCTAGGACTTCTTACAGCCTTGTCTTTCCTTCCTTGAATCAAAGGAAGGTTCCTCATAGTCATTCTGTCTGCTTCTGTTCAATGCAATTTTGATGTTGGAGATGAAGAGAGAAATTTCAGTGGACTGTTGCTCATAAGAAGGGCTTTCTGAACATTTTGGGGGATAAGAACATTAATGTGCCTTAGTTTGCAAGCTCTGGATATGAAAATTTTCTGACTGGAATAGCAAGAACAAATGTGTTCAAATTTCTGAAGTCAATTATCTCTAACCAATATGGGCTTCCCTTGAGAAAATACTTTGAGGAGAAACTTGGGAACAATTTGTGATTTATAAAAAACTGAAATTGTATTCACTAAATAGTTTCATTTGAGTACTTTTAACTTAATTTTTTTATCTTTGGAGAAATAGATTTCTTTTTTGTTTGAATTTCTTTTTTATTTGTTCTTTTTAGATATACAGGATAGTAGAGTATATTTTGACATATTATACATACATGGAGTATAACTTATTATAATTAGAATCCCATTCTTGTGATTGTACAGGATGTGAAGTTACACTGGTTTTATATTTATACATGAGCATAGGAAAGTTATGTATAATTCATTCTACTGTCTTTCCTATTTCTATCCCCCTCCCTTCCCTTCATTCCCCTTTGTCTAATACAGTGAACTTCTGTTTTTCCCTTCCCACCCTACTTTGTTGTGGATTAGAATACATATATCAGAGAACATTTGGCCTTTGGTTTTTGGGAC